TCTAAAGCCTGGTTCACATGCCCTCCCTCACCCTCGCCTCAGTCGCTTGCAGATTTCCATTACACAAGAGTGTTAATTATTTTGAAATAATGTAAATGTTTGAATTTGACTATGATGAGATCTAATAAAGTTTCATCTAATTTATAAATAGGCTTAAAAGCAATTGCAGTTATACATTAAAAAAATTACAAACGTCTTGGCCTACAAATACATTTTGTAAGGAGAGTCTTTTCTCTAGTGAGTAAAAACGATCGCGGTCAAGGAATGAACTGTGCTAAAACAGCACATTGTCAATGTTTACAAAAGTATTTTACTGAAGCCCTGGTGTTTTTTAAAGACATTGCATAATAGCCTATGTCGACGTCTGTGGAGAAAAGTATGGCAATAGATAGGTTTTACTTTTAGCCTACAATATAGATTATGTTTTGGGACTAAAATCTCCAAAAGACCAAAAGAGTGCTTTTAACAAACATTTCATAGTTTTATTTAGTAACAAAAGTGTTTGACTATGTTCCCGATTATACCAAGAACAAGGTTCGGCAGGCAGAGTGGATTCACTGTGAACCGGCCTGCCTGGCCCTTATGCACGACGTCACTATAACCTCCGTGTAGGGGTGTCAACAATGGATCGGAACAATCAAAGTTTTGAACCTGTCTGTAACCTAGTTTTTTATACTTAAATACTCATTATTTATAAACAAACACGTCCTACATGTCGGATCTCGAATCACGATATTTATCGATACCCTTTCCACCCACAATAAGCACATAAAACGATGTTAAAGCAATCGTCATTTGCTCCATTGAAACACGAAAGTCGATTGGCTGACATGGTAGTGCACTGACGCCTCCTGACCAATGAGAATTGTTACATACTTTTATGGTCAACATTCACCAATCGTTTTAACATTACAAAATCGACATGGACTAAGGCTTATAATATTTTTCAATAAATACATTATGTTATAGTAGCACTTAAAACTTCACTAAACTCTTTAACCAGGTAGATAGTACATATCAAAATATGGATCTACTTTTTGGCGCAATATAAAGCAAGCCTAACCATACGACGATGTTAAAGTTTAATGGTTGAATATAATTTTTCTAATGATGCGTATAATGCAGGGATTATTGAACTGAAAATTTCGACGTTGTACTAAAAATAAAAATAATACATCTAAATGTCTGACTTATTGATACAGACATTGTTTAGGATAATTAATTTGTGTTGGCAGGACATTCGCGCGCCCGGTTGTCTCTTGAGTTGAGTCTGACATCTTGAAATGTAGATTCGTAGATTGTGTTGTGCAATGCTGAAGCTAAACAATGTCCCCGGCACCGTCGCTGTTTTGAACTAGATAGTTTCTAAGTTGGCTATGAAAATTGTTAACCGTGATGACAAAACTAATACTGTAGCTATACAGTAAATAAATGCTAAAATAAAATATTTATCCCTGTCGGATGTCGGTATCATCGGAATCGACTTTTGACAATCGAGTCTTGGTACCGATACCAATGTCCAAGTATCGGTGGTATCGATGACGATAATCGAATCATCTCTTTTTTACTAGTAGAGCTGTATCGTGACGTAATCGATGCATCGGGATTTTGATGCATGCTGGATCGAATCGGGATTCGATGCATCGCACTCGCAAACCTACACCACTGCCTATCACCCAGTCCCAGTGTCAGCTCAGCTGTCGGCGCTGTCGCTGTCGCTGTCAGTGAAATGGATGACGCAAGCGATGTCTAGGTTGCCGATTATTAGTAGGCCTAGTATGTCAATATTTAAAGGGGTTAAGGGATTAAATAAAACTCAAAAATTTTCCTTTCTTACTATTTATTTGTCAAATATCATCAATGAAAATAACGAAATCGGCTTAACGTCTACTACTCAATTATTATGCACTTTTTTAAGAATAACAAGTTTAGATAAGGTGACGCTAGAAAAGCTCGGCTCGAAAAAGCTCGAGCTCGAAAATTTTTTAAAAAGCTCGGCTCGGCTCGGCTCGAGGTTGAAAATCACTATTCGCACACCCCTAATACCAAGTTTCATAAACATCGGTTGGAAAAGTGCAAAGATAAATATTTGTATGTAAAATATACAAAATGGTGGATATCTGGTTAACGAAATGATTTTGGAAAAAATGTTAACCTTGATTTTCTGTTTATTTTGACCCAAGGAATTACTAGGTAAAGTATCTCCCCGCTTATTTTAACACCCTGTTTATGATGTATTCTTATAAGTGAAAAATGTAAGCTGGTAATAAAGAAAGATGTTTTATAAATAATATGAATGTACTGGTGATCTGTATATTCATCTTTTTCTTGTCCTTAGAACTATAGATTAAAAGTCCACTCAGCAGTCGCATCGTACGATGTAGTTCTTTCCATGCGTTGCGAAATGCTAAATTTGCCGTCCTCTTCAACCCAAGTTATCTACTGAACCACTGATTGTAGAAAATTCAAAAAAATATATTTTACGCATCACACTTTTGGCTACAACTTTGCCACAGACAAAACCTCTCTAACCCAAAAACAAAAAAAATCTCGCATACTAACTTTTTCATGTTAGAAATCACGGTTTAAAACTATTTCACCATACAAATCAATTTTTGTTAATTAGATCGGTAAATAGTTTAAAGTTCCAACAAAATAGTCATCGAGTAGGACTAACCAAGAAGCTCTGTGCCAAATTTCAAAATTTTAGCACAACTTTAAGTACACCAAAACACGAAATTATTGAAGTCATGCGTCGAGAGGACTATCGTTGTTTTTAACAGATTATACTTTTGACCTTCCGGCACTGTTGACTCAGCGAAACTGAACTTATATTTTATCTTATTTCGTTATATTAAAACTGCTGTTGCATTAGGTCAAATTCCCAATAAGTCAATTGCTTTAACATAGACTACGTTTTTAGCCCGGACTGTACTATTTGACTTACTGGGATTTTTGATCTACAGACACTGCAAACATTGTAGTTTTTGACCTAGCGGCACAGGTATAAATTATTTGACCTTCCGGGACTGTTGACTTTCTGCAACGCGTCCTATAAACCTAGCAAGGAAAACTGACTTTAGCACTTAGCACATAAGGTGACACAAAGCTTAGTTGAATTTATCTTTTTTGCAACCTAGTTGTCATTACATGCTGAATGTCAGTGAAAAGACTTAACAGATTTAAATGAGGTGTTTTTCTTGTTGTGCCTTACTAGGCCAATGTGGTTAAAGGTGATTTTTGCACCTGCTGTTACTGGATTGGAGATTTTGTACAGAACTTTTTGCCAATGGACCTATCGTTGTCCAAGTCTTATTGGATCAGCTTCATTTATGTCAGCTGGCTGTCTGCTGGTGGATGCCAGGACTGAAGCCTACTGGAAGTGTGTTTAATGTGTCAGTACAGTCTCACACAATAATAGCTTAATATTCAGCTGCTAAGATGACCAGAGAAAAGATTGATGTACATCAATGCTATGGTAGTGCTTGTGAATTGGCTCCCCAAGTAAAACGAGTATCTAGATCCTGCTCCTTACATATCCCTGTTTCCACCCTTAACAACAATGTCTGTATCTTTGTCTCTCTGTATACATTGATCTACAAATGACCATGTTGTGTTGCAGTGCTGGCCTGTTTTGTCAACAGTGATTGACAAGTACCAGACGGAGAGCACCATCATGGAGAGGTGCTGTCGGTGTTTAAGGTTTGCCATTCGATGTGTAGGAAAACAAGCCGCACATCTCCTCGAGCCTCTCGTCAAACAAGTGAGTATTTATTAAGTTAAATTTGTATATTTAAATTTTGTAGTAAATTCAATTTAGTATTTATACAATCAAAATAAAGTAGATTTCCTGGTATGTCTCAGTTGTATTTTTACCACTTTTACTCCAATCACCCGGTGTTTCTCAAACAAACGCTGACTGAACTGTAACTAAGCATTTTTACTGTGGTGTTTTTTTTTTTCTACTATTGTTTTATGATATTTAAGCATACAGTTTCATTCTCATGTGTTGTAGATGGTCAGTGTGTACACCAGACACCCGCACAGTTGTTTGCTGTACCTAGGCTCCATACTGGTGGATGAGTACGGCAGTGAAACGTCGTGTGTGGCCGGTCTGTTAGAGATGTTGCAGACGTTTATCACCACAACATTCTCGCTGCTGCAGGAAGAGAACGGCCTCAAGAACCATCCTGACACTGTAGATGATTTCTTCAGGTTGTGCAATAGGTGAGATGGCTTCAATATTGAAATGTAGAATAAAATCAAATCTTATCTACTGACATAATTGAGTAAAAAAATGTATTAAGGGAATAGGTCAATTAGGAGCTAAACTAATGGGGATTGCATTATTAAATTGGTTTTGCAGTTTGTGTCTCCAATGGTATTCATGCTATTCAATCATTCAACTTGAAAAAATACCATTTTGCACATAATTATGGATCTGCGAGCCAGAATTTTATTACTTCAGTCTGGGAAAAATTGTGTTTTCTTCCTTATTACCAAAAATTGGGTTGCTTTGTAATAGGCTACTACAATAATAAACATATTGGGTGAAATCTTGAATATAACCACTGATCACAGCAAAATCAAGGACATCTGTAGTCATGGTCAAATTGTGAACATCTTCCCTTGTCGCTATGAAATCAAGAACATCTGGAAACATTTTATATTGCCAAATAGAGTATGTTAATGTTGTTTGGTTAATAACAATAAATTTACCCTTTTTAGATTGTTTGTTTGCAAAGTGGTCAGTTCTTTAAGAAAGTGTCTGTTTGCAGGTTCCTACTGAGAGCCCCGGTTGTGTTCCTCACTGCTCCAGTGTTCCCCTCCATCCTACAGTGTGGACTGATGGCTGTTCAGCTCGACCATCGGGACGCTAACTCCTCTGTCATGAAGTTCTTCTCGGACATGGTACATGCGGGAGTCTCGCATCCGGTGAGTCACTAGACCAAGAGTTACCTTGCAAGTGCTAGACAAGAATGTATGGTGAATTCAAAATTTAGAATAAACTAAGAAGCAGTTGAGTTTATAGAATGTATGTGTTTTAAGTCACTCTAACATGTTGTGTTTGACAGGAAAGAGAGGACTTCACTGCTAGACAACAACTAGTGAGAGAGATGCTGGCTGAGCACGGGCGCACGCTAGTCAACAACCTGATCCATGCGTCGGTGTTTTGCCTACACTCCTACATGTTATGTGATGTTGCGATGGTCATCACCGAGCTCATATTGTGGGACAGAGAGGTATATAAAGCTATTGTTGTTTGTTTTATACTAGACCACTCCACCATGTATTTAGTTTTGTACAAATCAATCCTGAGTATTGAAGATGTCAAGCTGTTTTACTCTTCTAGAAATTTCTTTGAATTCTTTAGTTTAAATGTTCCAGGTCTTTTGTCGTGAAAAATCTAAGGATGTTCAGATAAGAGCAAACTCAATGTGTTCAAGAGTAAACTTTTTTTGTTTTGTTGTAAACAAGTACAAGAAACTCTCGGGCTGAATGAATCATAGGATTTTATAAATTTGCGTAAATCTGTACTGAAATATCATTTTATTTTTTACGCTCCTTAAACTTATAATTTAGCAGGCCTACAGTTGATTCATGGACTGTATCTGCTCACCCCTCGCTTCGCTCCTTGCACTGGCCTTTGAACCCATTGTGACCTGCCAAATGCAGGGATAAAAGAGGCTGTCAAGCTCTTTTGTAATGCATTTTATTATGTTATACAAATGAGAAATAGCTATTTACATTACAAGTGTAGTAAGAGCGTTTTTACATCACGCAGGTGAATGTTGTGCAACGAGCGGAAGCGAGTTGCATAATTCACCGAAGTGATGTAAACACGCTCTTGTGTAACGTGTAACGTACAAGATTTTACCTGACCCGACAATATTCAGGAGGTTACGAGCAATATGCTTCATTATCAATTTCACTCATCTTCTAACAGTAACGTTCATTTACAAACAAAAGCTAGGTTAGGAAAATTCTTCAAAGCATAACAATAAAATTTAAACACACAGCTGATTTCTAGCGTTGAACGTCGTTGACTCCATAGAGGTATATTTTTTAAGTTATCCACTCAATGTTATTTAAATGGGTTTCATTACATCACCGAGTGAGTTTTTTTCAACTTTACATCACTCGAGAAGTAAGGAAGTTGTATACATCACGCTTGGGATAGGGAAGTTTAACATGGCGGGTTAGGTAAAATCATTTTTAAGTTTACTGGAATTATGTGGCTATATTTAAAACTTGATTTTAATATTTTCTTTGTTGTTCCAGACTTTTAGGTCTTGGATTTGGGAAACTCTATCACAGTTACCAAAACAAAATACAGGAGGAAGTGTTACAGCAACAGAAAAGCAACTAATGGAATTCCAAGACACAGTAACAAAGTGAGTCAAACCATTAAAAAAACTTTTCAAAAAGTATTTAACCTGCTTACTATTACAATGAAACTGTTAACAATGGTGTGACACATTGCCAAAGTTAATTTTACGTTTTATACATGTTTAGTTTTGTCTGATACTTGTTTTATTCTTTGAAGAACAAGATTATTTTACGGTACCTAATTCGGTTTTGAATTACTAATGGCTCCGATTGTGTTACCTAATTTTTTTTTAAATCATTCTTAATTACTCGTAGCATTTACTAGACTCTCGTAGTTATTTCATGTACTGATATAGATTTAGTGGTAAAAGTAGACAGAAAGTATGTATTACTGTACACCTTGCTCCAAAAAATTATCACAAACTTTTAATTTTGTTTCAGTGCTCAGAACGTGAAGATCATCACGCACAGTTTACGAGATTTCGCTCGATTATACCGATAATTGTACATCATAAACCTTTTATTTATTTTTATATTCAGATTATTTGTAAAAAAGTAATAAATCATGTTTTATTTCATTGTACAACGGACTCTGCAATATTAAATATTGTTTAGTCAGTTCAATGCTTGTTAACCCCCATCCTTACTTTTATACCAGTCAAACCAGAGTTTCTAGGTTTTTAAATTTGAAGTTTATCAATAATTTTAAAGAAAATCATGTTGCTAATGAGATATTTTTTTAAGTGACAGAGTTCAGCTAACTTACCCAAAAAGTTAAGGCCCAGTGGCTAGCTAATAATTACTTGTACAAAAAAGGTCACAATACATTATTTCATCCTAATACAGGACTTCTTAAGAGTTGATCCCTTCAATTATGTACTAGTCTGCTATTTTTAAAACAAGGTAAAAAGTTAATTAAGAAGATTAAGTTTACGGAATCCAAACTGAAACACTTAAACTTCCAAAAAGATAATGTATTTTGATCAAAGAATACAAATATTTAGAAAAGTACTGGCTAGCATCTGCTTTATATTTTTTGGTACTCCAAGCGCAACAGTATACTTCTGATCCTATTATAATATCCTAGTTTGTTTTTCTCTTTTTTGGGGTAAAGCTGGGTTTTTCTAGACACGGAGAGAGGAACGCAGAGAGCGGACTCCTCTTGTCTTAGGTAATTTAATGTTACTGTTTTAATAGGAGTGGAGCAGAATGCAATGTAATCGCTTTTCCGCTCTCCGCCCTCCTCTTCCGCGTCTAGGAAAACACAGCTTTAGATATGTGCACTCAACTCTTAGGTTTCAATACCAGATGACATACTCCATGTTATAAATTTATTGAAATTACAAGAAATACTGAAAGTCAAATAATTATGTACACATTAACATACAGTAGAATGACTTAAAATTGTCTTCAATTCGTAAGGATGATATTGATATCACATTTACAAGTATGTAAAATCTATGGTTATGTCTAGCAGCATTTGATATAGCAAACTAAAAAAAATCCAACATTCTTAGGTAGACATTCTTTTTAAATCACTTTTAGGTCTCTTCTTATTCGCTATAACAAATAATAACAATAAAAGATTTTTGCACAACTGCTTTTATTGAATCATTAGGAACTAAAATAATATGGATTACACTGATATCACATTGATACTTAATTTCTAACCCGTAAAATTTTCTGATGAGATTTACCAATCTATATAATTAATACGCTACATGAAACTTTGTCGGTTGAACTCCTCCGCCATTTATTAACCGATTTCATCCACTGACGTCTCACTGGAAAGAGCGTGTCGCGTAGATTTGCAAACTGGCCTTACATTTTTGAAAAAGTCCTTTGGGCTCTGCCCCAGTGGCTTTGAAAGTTCCCATGTTATCCTTATGAGGAACATAATTGTTTACATTTTGATCAGCTGTATAATTTAATTGCTGTTATTTATTTTTCAATTCAATGAAACGCATTGAGTACATTTGTTTACTATTTGAGTTTGTGTAAACATAACCCCCAAGACGGATCGTGTTAGTATGGTTTTATCTTAAATTTGTGTATTTATGATTGTTTTGTGTCGCTATGACGGATCGGGTTAGCATGATTATAACTTAAATTTGTGCATTTATAGTGTTTTTGTGTACCTATAATTTGTTTATTTGTTGTTGTTTTTTTCTTTTAAATGTCTCCGACGCGACGAAAACGAAACATAGACAGGAGGCGTAATCGTGATAACGACCGCAGCTACAGATCAGTGGCGCGTATTAGGCTTAACTCATCACAGTCGGCACCTGACCCTGGACACACTCAACTATTAGGTTACAAATGCGCCCTAACACTACCCCAAAACGACTTTTTGTTCTCAATTGGCCCTCTATGGCCGGCCGCACACCTGATACAGCACGGCACGGCAAGGCGAGGCGAGACGTCTTTGCCTCGCCTTGCCGTGCCCGATGGAGATTTGAGATGCATACGGCACGGCACGACAAGGCGACTTGAGCACCCACATGGTCGATCCCATGGTTTCAGTAAAGTGAGATACTGTGTGTTATGAGGTTGTTTGTACATTTTGTGACACTTTGTACTACACATTTTGTGAGAATGGATGCAGAAGGCGAAGAAGAGGCTGCTGCCATCGCTGCTATATGGTACCATTGACTGTTGTGTTTATATAGTCAATGATGGTACCTAATGAATGTAATGGATGATCTCCCTAACAGAGAATCGTTGGTGCATCCCATCAACCAAAAAAGGACTTGAAACCATTCATTGCAGAACTAAGAGCAGATCCGGAAAAAATTCATAATTACTAATCGTTGGAAGTGCACACTGATTTTGACAGGGGCAGGGGCTGTCACTGCGCTGAACGTGGTGTCGATCCTCGCGCATGCGCACATCGTTTTGCCTCAAGCCTTTTGCCCGAAAGACGAAAATTGAAAAGGCAGAACAAAGCGCCGTACGTCGCTGTTTTGCCTTGTCTTGCCGTGCCCGATGATGTGTGCGGAACCCCCAGTTGAAATAATAGAAATCTAGTCGCATAAGGCAAAACGTCGCGCCGTGCCGCATCAGGTGTGCGCCCGGCCTATCAATGACCTGTGTTGCCTGTACAGCGAGGCATTTAGAGAAGGAGAAAACCGGCCGGAATCCTTTAGGTTTATCAATAACGAAGATAAACATGGTCTGAGTTACACACCGGTAATCTTTGAGTTGACTCTTTTAAACTCATTGTAAATATGACTGTTATTCGTTTTGAAAAAACTCCTGTAATACATTGCAATTGCTCGAATTCGAGCAACATGTACGCTAGTACACTATTAGTTCAGGGAAATGGCCTCTGGAATTGTTAATACTTTTTTTTATAAACTAGATAAAAGACCATTTGACTCGCTAATAGAACACTTAAAATGAATAAAACAGAATCTAGGTCATTTACCCTTCTTTGCTTTAATTAAAAATCACAGAGTAATATAGTAAAATATTTCAATAATAATTTCTGGATAAAATAGACACAGGAAAATATGCTTCCTATTCACAAGGCTGTGAACTATATTCCTGGTCCTAACATCCAATGCATATACATATTACACCAGAAAGTATTTCCTTCTAGGGAAACAGAAAGTTATCAGTAACATGATTATAGTGTTAACCTTTGAATCTGGTTGCTGGCTCAATTCAAAGCAAAATTGTTTCTAGGCCCAGATGCCTTTTGGGGGTATCAATTAAAGATGCTAACGTTTGTCCAACAAACAATTGACGTTAAGTAACAAGAACCGGGGTTTGGAACATTCCTTTATAAAATCCCAAAAATAAAACAAGAGCACACTATTGTTACTAGACAAAACATCCATCAGCCAACATAGATATTGCAAGGAAAAGAGTTTGTTTTCGGTTGACGCTTGCACAACTTACATAAAGATAAGCACTATCCTTTTAATGTGCTTAGTGCTTTATTCACAAAGTAGGTGACTAATCCTAACTTAAAACTTTAGATCCATTTTTCAACGTACCAAACAAAACACATCTAAGAATAAACTTAACATATTCAGGATAAAACTTTATGTACATGACAAACAGTAAATATTATCTCAATATTATTGTTCTAACTTGTGGCACAGGAGCGTAGGTTTTAAAAATATGGTTGTGATGAAAAGGCTTGCCTGAATAGGGAAAAATCCATACTAGTATAAGAAAACATAAAAAGTACTGTATGACCATATACACAACAGTTCAAACAATTTGTTGCTGATAGCAGTTCTAAACAAGGAATGTTTGAGTTGGACAGGTAATATTCAATTAAAAACATTTTACCCAAACCAAAACATTTTTGTTTCAAATGCTGTCAATGACAGTAAAAATTCTAATTATTGAGTGACCAAATTTTCTTTTCCCGATCCAGGCAAGTCCAGGCCACGCCCTACTAAACCTTGAAAATATCAGTTATATCACAATATGTTTGTGCTGAGGAACAAAGAGTAACAACATAATTGTTCAGATTGTTGATAACTAATATTGATCATAAAGCCTAGTCCACACATGGAGACTGAGTCTGCCGACTGTGCGTGGGCAGTCGGCAGACAGTCTGTCAACACAGTTTTGGATACAAATTTCCAATGTGTTTTGCGTCCACACTAGCCAGCCAGTGTTTCCGTGTTTGTTGGTATGTTGACCGAGGAGGACGTATTATATCCTGTGTGGGCTTCATTTTTCTGAACCATGTGCCTAATGAATCTAGGAAGAGACGATGATGGACCCAATATTTTCTCGAGCAAGGTTCGTACTATGGTCACAATCTTCTATCAGACCTTCAGATTAGGTGGTGGATTTAGGAAATTCACGAGGTTGACTTCTAAAGATTTTGAAATTTTTCTGGGCTTTGTTGGTCTTAAGTTTTGTCTCTTGTCTCCCATTCGAACGGGAAACAGAAAACACTGTATTTTGTCTCCAACAGAAGAGATCATATGGTTCAGTCCAGTGTGGTGGGAAAAGTGAAGGCAAGATGTGTCGAGATGTGTCTTATCTCATCTAGTGTCTTCTCTCATCTACCATACTGGACTGATCCAATATGGAGTATTATATTTGGTTCATATAATAAATCTCCCCCTATAATAGGCTTCAACCCCTAGGCTTATATTAGGTTTTTAACTAAATATAGGTAGCTTCATATGGCATCAACCTATAAATTAGGGTACTAAAGGGTCCTAGAAGGTTCCTATTGTGTAGAGAGTACTGGTTAAATAACAACAATTGGATACAGTATAATTATTTTATTTATAGACATATATTCAATATATACAGATTAGCTTACATTTCCAAGAGTAGGTAAACCATCAGATGCATAAGCATTATCAAACTTCTTATTCTTATGAATGAAATATATTTTATTAGGATTACTTTGAGGATGACTAGCACTTCCACTGCATAATATACTACCTCCAAAAGATAGTAATAATACTTTTAAGTACCCCCCTTAATAATTATTTCTGTATTTATACCAATTTCTGCACAGGCTTCTACATTTTTACCATCCTTGGATCTTTTTGGAAATAATCCTAAAGCTAGACCATCAACAAGAAAGTCCAATTCCTACTTGACCTGCTAATTTACCAAAAAACTCAGTATATGAAGTTGGTTCTATATCACTCAACTCGTTTAAAAAAGTCTCATCAGCTTGTTGAACTAACTGAAATGCTTATTCTTTGTTACCTGTAGATTGGAACGAAGTCGATGCTTGTTGATAAGCTCTATCGTGATGTTGTGCTACTTCATCAACTCTGTTGGTAGGTGGTCCATTATCTAGGGGATTTCCAGGTCCAAGGTAGTTGTGTCCAGGAAATAATAATCCTCTAGTAGTTCCAATGCCAGAATCTGTTGTAGTGAAGAACTCCTTGTTGGAGATAGATGTATCACTTGAAGTAGGTAGTTCTTTTCGATTTCCTACAGAGTTGCTTCGAAGTCTTGATGATTTACTCTGTTCACCTAAAGATAGGCTACGATGTCTAGTTGGTTTAGTAACTTCTTCTGTCCTTTCACGACTTCGAAATCTATCTTCTTCTTTATCTTGATCACTGTCTCTCTTCCTTTTGTTTCTTTCTTTACTCAACTTTAGTCCTAACGTTTTCTTCGACTTCTCAGCCATTTAATGTGCTTAACACAATTCAGTTCTTATATATACTCTAGAAACTGATTACCATCCTGTCACGTCTTTAAGTGACCTCACGTTTTACTACTAACGTGTTATAACTATAAATATGGCAGTCTTGAATGATACCTACACTTAATACACTCCTTATATAACTCTTATCCCCTAAGACCTCATAGGGGTTGATTCATAAGGGTTAGAAACTACCCCTAATTACAGCCTATTATAGGGGGGAGATTTATAATATGAACCAAATATAATACTCCATATTGGATCAGTCCAGTGTGGTAGATGAGAGAAGACACTAGATGAGATAAGACACTAGATGAGATAAGACACATCTCGACACATCTTGCCTTCACTTTTCCCACCACACTGGACTGAACCATATGAAACACCAAAATTTGTCTGCCCCCTTACTGGAGACAAAATAGCAAAACTCCAGAGACAGTCGGCAGAAAATGTTTCCGCAGACAAATCGCCATGTGTGGACGAGGCTTAACAATAACTCCTTAGCTAAAGCACCATAAAATTCTTAAATTCAATTGGCAAAATTGGATCACATATCTCAAAGCTTTGAGGACAGTTGAGTTGAATAATGTAAAATAATAATAGATATATCGTAAATTAGGGAACTAACTAAACTTGGATTGTACACATCTGAAAAAATAAGAATTTGGTGGTCTTAAAAATCCTCCTGTAAATATCCTTTATGCACACTTCACTGTTTTAACGAACTTCCCACACAAGGATTCAGTCCAGAAAACAGCTTGCCTCCAGCTAAAGTAAATGGGGTTTCATTGCGTACTAGTGTACTGTAATGAGTGTTTACTGGACACCAGCTGATTATATTTGGCAATGAACAACAAACATAACAAAAACATAACCTCTCTTATAGGTTATGATTAGTGATTGTTAGTCCTTTAGTCGGTGGGAATATATAAGGATTTGTACAGGTTTTTTATTGTTAATTTAGCATAGAGTAGTATGGCATAAAATATCATTCGCCACTCGTCCAAAATGTGTTTACCAGACTTGGCTTTGTCTCACACAGGAGCGATCACACTCGTCCAGTAAATACCTATTTTCAGGACTAGTATAGTAACGTAATAGTATACTATTATTTTCTTCATCCTTATTTATTTTGATACCTCATAACTTACACAAAAAAGACTTTCGTAATTGAAATTCATGTAATGTTTTGTCTTCTTTAAATAAAAGAAATAGTTCTCAAAAGTTGAAAACTACCATCACAGATAATTTTTAAGTATACCTAACACAAACGTTTTTTAAGAGGCAAATAAATAGTTAGCCAAATATATCTGAACCACTAGATAAAGCAGTTCAAGGTAAAATTAAAATTTAAAATTAAATAGTATACACAACTTTCAATAAATCAGCACAACGATTATACCTCTAAAAATCAGTGTTACGACTATAGGTATGTGTCATAATACTGTACATTGAGACTGCAATTTCACTCACTATTTTTGGTAACTAAGCTTGGTAAAAATAATTTAATATCTAATATTTACAGTTATAAACTACACTTATTTCATTCAATAATAAATGCAGGTAAAAGTATACTCTATTACATTGTAAAACAGATCCTTAAACAGGACAGATCTCCTTGGATTTATCCTTAGGCCTTAAGTTGCTAACAGGGTTTTGACTGTACATGATCACAGCTAAGGAAACAATCATGATGGCAAAGACTGTGTTTAGGTAAATAGGAATACCAAACAGTATCCTTGTCAGGATGGCAGTGAAGACGAGCTCCAACGCGCTAGCAAAGGTCTTCAGTATCGAATTGAGCGAACGCAGAAAGAAACTGGTCACGATGCCGATTGCTGCGTTGTTCAATATCACTAAAAACACCTAAAAATGTTGTGGAATGAAAAAATATGAATATTTCAATGCATTTTATTTATTTAATTTTAACTGGTCTATGAAGTTACTGATTTTACAAGAGGGTAAGGAAGTTCATTTGTGTATATATCTGTCCTCAAATATTATTTATCATTATTACATTCTACAAGGGGGTAAAAAAGTCACTGCCAATTTTCTGATTATACCAAGCAGCAAGAGGTCGTTACGGAATTCACTTAACGCATTTTACACAACAGATTTTTTTTAGAACTACGAAAATGTACTAAAAGCACTTACACTAGTTTTAATTTCTCTTCCACCAAAATAATCAGTGACAGTGGGAAAATGATGCTGTTTAATATAAATTATGCATTTTTAAACAAAACAAAAATTAACTTGATAGGTCCTACATAGGTGATAGGTACATTTGTAAAGTTTGTAAAAAAAACTAATCATTTCAAAAGAAAATTTTTATGGCAAAAGGCAACTCTCTGTGAAGTTGCAGATTTTAACAACAGAGAACTAGTATCCTCCCCCCGGTTGTTATTTGTTTATTTCTAATGGCTGGTACAGTATAAATATTTTAGAACCACGCATACATTACATTATTCTCTTATTTGTGTTCTTTTGTTTCAATACTTACTGAGTAAAAATATTAAAATAAAAAAAAACAATCTTACAAATTCTTTTTAAAGTTATGATCAAGAATATTCAAATTATATGAAAGGAGAAGTTGTAGCTAGTATTTAAACTCAATGATTCAGAAATAAACTAGAGATGGGACGTTCGGATCACTTTACTGATCCGGGTCAACCGGTCTCGTTCACTGCCGCGACCCGTTTAATTGAATCGGTCTGTCGACTGTCAGTCAGCCAGGTTCCTTGCCATTCCGAACGCAATCGGACTTCTTCGGTCATCGGATCTTGGCGAACGGCGAACGAAATGAACGAAAAGACCGAGACCGAACGAAACCAAAGTTAACTACGTGAGTCAACACAGAACATATTTTCTATCCTGTATTATTTTCTAGGTTAAATTAAGTCAATATTGATATTTTAAACTCAATAAATAATGTTTTTATTTTTTTTATGAGTAAATATATTAAGATACACAATTTTTCTTATAATAGAGTTTCGTTATAAAATTTAAACAGTCAGTTGATTGGAGTGAACGAAATCAGAATTGAACGGGTCTTTTGAATAAGTGTGACCCGGATCACTCGTTCACCTGACTGACCCGTTCAAATTGAACGGGTCATGACCGAACGACACATCTCTAAAATAAACCAAACAACAGATGCAATCATCCAATGTGTATGTACGTATTAAACAAATACATTGTAATTGTTTACTGATTCACCAAACAATATAGGCTAACAAGCAGCGGGGAGTAGAAATCAGTTGAGCAAGATAATAATTTATCTTTAACGAATAAAAACCATGAATAAGTTTTGAAATAGATTGGAAACATGTTTGCTCCAAAAATGTAGCATATACCTTAGTTTAAACCATGTTACAAAACTAGCATTTAAACTTTAAAGAGTTTGTAATAGAACTGAAATTTGCTTATAACATGTGTTGGTAATAGAACCATTACAAAATACTTACTTTGACTTGAAACAGACTGAAGAACGCTTCAGAATCCCACAAAACTGGCAGTTGGCCCTGCCAGGCTAGCAGTACGACATTGCACACAATGGAGTCAACGTACATGAAGATGTTTTGTATATATATATTGCAAGCTTCACCGTCAGAACTTTTCAACAGAAGTTCGTTGTACACTCCTGCCAGGCATGAGCACACCACCTGGTTGAACATTGAACATATATTGACAATAATCAGATACAGTAAACAAAATAAAGATCATATATTTCAAGTTATGTTTCCAAGTGGAAGACTTATTTTTGATCAGCGGTAGTGTAGCAAACATTGCTATGGTAGACGGAAACATAATTAATATAATTTGTCCTCTAGGGACATCAAAACCTAAAAAATTCGGTTCCGGGGTCTAGTCTTACCATGAGACCTATGGTGTAATAGTAATTCCCTATATAGGAAATTCGCTTAAATAAAAATGAATAGAATTGTTCTTTTAGTTTCCAGTGGTAATGTAAACAAATGTATCTACCTCATTTCAGTAAACTTGACTGTCGTCTCCTAACAATAGTGAGAGGCTTGTGTATACCTGCACAATAATAAGTAACATGTGGAAACTGAGGAGAGGGGCCGTTCCCTTGTCAACAGCTTTGATCACGACATCCGCGTTGTCTGTTGTCAGCTGACTGAGAGGCTGGGGAGTGTTGTCAGACAACGGCAACTGTTTGATCATGCAGCCGGCGGTCAGTAGCACCAGCGACACCCACTGCCTGCCACTTAGCTGTTTCTTGAACAGAATCTAAGAGAAAAGAATGAATTAATACATCATTATACACAACAGACAGCGCTGATATCAAGCAAACAATAACAATAAAAGCAATGATCCGTCTTTGATTAGAGCTGGGTAGCTGAGTGGTTTTAGTGCTCACTAACCATAAAATAGTAGCCACATTAATCCTGAATATTTAGTAGCTTTTAAAGGTTCAAAACTGGAGTCAGTAGTAGTTATTTTTGGGTTTGGAAATGAAAATGGCTAAAAATAAAATCTAATCTTAGTCAGTAATACAGAGCACACAGATCATCTCGTTCTATTCTTCATGTCAAGTGTGAAATAGGCAGCATATTGTGTTGTGTTGTATCTAAATATAAAGCAACTGGTCATAGTGATAATGATCAAAATAATGGGACATTGACTTCTATACTCAAAATCACATAAATTCAATTATAAAAATATCTTTAAAATATTTAAAGAGGTATACTCTCACTTAAAACACCAGAAATGTTCTGCTGTTTTGTTATTCAGACTTGATATTTTAAACAGACTTTCATGATGAGAAAGTAGTGCAATTGAGCGCGTTCTAGGAACACTAACCGTTGCATAAAATGCGTCGTTCTGGGAGACCGGTGAGTTAGCAGAAAGCTATTTCCTCTTTTTCCTCCACCGGTGCAAAATTCATGCGCCGGAGAAGTTGTACGGTGCATAATACACTGGTTGCCTTTGATTGGTCAGTTTCTTGGACAACAATATGCAGCTATGGCAAGATGGAGGGTCCATCGAATAATGCACATCAGTTTGATAGGTTAATATTACGTAATGAGTGAATAATTTATTCTGTGAGGGTAAGTTTGTAAATTGGATGTGTAAATTATAATCCGATGTGTACCGTAAACCGGTGACTAACCATTCTGGGATACCATGACTCTTGCCCCGGGGCAGTACCAGTGAGTAATGCACCGGTACATGTTCCCGGAACGCACCCATTGTTACAAAAGATTATGACACAGAGAATACTGTACTGTCAGTTCCTGACCTTGGATTGTCCTTAACTTTAATCAAGGTATGAGACTCCTAAAAAAAAACATGCAAAAGGAAAATTCATTGATGTGATTTTAAATTACCTGAAAAAGAATGCCTGTAATGACAACTCGTAGTTGCAGAAGAAGGTAATACGATGGAGGATCATACACTGACAGGTTCACAAACGCCAAGTTGTTGTATAAACAGTATAGGAAAGCAGGAACAAAATAATGGTACATCACTGAAACAAAAAAATGTTATGAGACTTTATGAAAAAAAACTCTGTTCAGAACATGACTCTTCAAATTGTTTAGGGAAACTACAAATATGAAATCCACAATACAATACACAAACAAATATGAACCACGTAATAAACACAAGATTGAAACCCCTTTTAAACTATGATATGAAATTCAATTCCAACAAGGCTTGGATCAGCCCTAAAGCCGTGTTTACACCGGAGCAAACGTTTAACATTACTTTTGGAACAGAAACATTTTTAAGTTGGAAACAGTAATTTAGTCTTTACAACAGAAATTTTGTGGTAAAGATCAAAGGGTATTCCAAACATAAGGAAACATTTGTTCGGAACAAATGCTTCTGTACTTCTACGCTGTTTACAACAGTTCCCCGCTACCCCCCGCACCTACCCACCACCACATGAATTTCTCGAGAGGGACTGACCTTGTGCTCTCGGGAACGGTGACTAAATTGTTTCCAACAAAATCAAAGAATAGTGCACTATCTGTTGTTAACTTTTGTTTTAGAAATTTTTGATTTAGAAACTTTTGTTTTAGAAACAAGTATTACCAACAAAAATTCAAAACATTTTCTTCCAAACTCCGGTGTAAACGCGGCTTAACTCCTTAACAAAAACCTTGTTCAAAGAATTATTTCCTACCTTTGGAATGCATTCTCGCATCAGCGACTAGACTAAGTATGCTGTGACTGAAAAATAACAAATTTTAAGTTTAAACAATATTTAATGCAGTTTTATCATACAAATCTTGATGGCATAATTGTCCTTAACACTAGACGTCTTCAGAAAATAATGCTATATTTTCACCTAATTTGTAAACCAGATACTTAAAAACAAATCTTACATGATTGTGGTATGCAATACTGAAGTTAGTTAGTCTAGTAATGTTAATTGCAGAGTTTGAAAAATTCGTTATTACGTTGTTTCTGAAATGTTAATATTATTTTTCTTTACTTTCCAAAGTTTTGTTGTGATTAAATCTACACAACGTTTCTGGAGGTGGATCACTTTCTAGCATAATAATTTAAATTAAAGTTGAACACGTGAGGAGTTGATCCACCTACAGAAACTTTGGGTAATGTTTAAACACAGAAAACATAGGAAAAGTCAAAACAAATAATAAAAAAACACAAATTTATTGATTGTGTATAACCACTAAATACTGCGTAAGGTAAAGATTATGTAAAGTTGAATGGATATAACAATAAGATATAAACAAATTGTTATAAGCATACCGGTATGGATATAAACAATTAAATACACATAATATTTAACAAATATACACTCCTCTGAGCAGGTCCTGTTTTGGCTGAAAGTCAAGGTGGGTTACTTTTGATAATTTGTAAACACCTATAGTACAAAATATACAAAAAATAAAGTTTTCCCCCCAAGGCTGCTTTTATAATAGGCCCAGGCCCAGGTGTGCATGAGGTTTTAGGTTTGTTGGGGGTTGGGGGCGCAAGGAAGATGGGAATTCACCCACAAGGTGGAGAGGGGCGCATTTATCTCTCACCCTATCTCCTGTAGCACATCACATGCAAACCGCGGCCTGTTTCCCTCCACATAATATGATGTAAGTATTGGTAGTCAAACGACAAGTAACAGCAACTGAGAAGATGTTTTGAACAAGCTCCCTTAACCTTTTCGATGCTAGAACTTTTTTGTAAGTTAATTATTTACTTATTTCGTCTGAAAAGGTCTAGGCTTGCCACAGGGGCAAAGTCTAGTGTGCAAGAAAAAAATTGGTAGTACAATTTTTCATCTCAAAAGTGCTAAGGATCACTTAGCACCTAGTACCTAGTAGCACTGTATATCGGGCCTCGATCATATGAGGAATCACAGAAACCATCGCAGTTTCGAAACAACAACCAAGTCAACCGATATGCCCATTTAAACTCACATGATTAAAAGTTTTGCCGACACGATATAACGTAGCGTAGCACTTTTTGGATGAAACGCAAACAACGAAATATCGTTCCATAGCACTTTTTGGGGGGAAAAACACACAACGATATATCGACACATAGCACTGAAAGGGTTAAAAAGTGCAAAATCCTATTCTGATCAAAGCTCTGCAAAATAATAAATATGCCAAGAAAACAGTGTTAATTTACATATAGGCCTATAATCTGACCTAACAAATTAAACTTACTCTTTGGTGTAAAGCATGATGGAAACAATCAATTTGACCACTTCTGTGGCCAAAACTGCTTCAATTGTGTTGTATAGGTAACCATTGTTGGAGTCCTGTGATGCTGTCACTAAGAGGCCTAGAATATAGATAATTTTCAATAAACATTAAATAGGTTTGTTTTCCAAATCACACAGGTTAACTGTTTTCATCATCTGAAATGTTTTTGTCGTACATAATTCCTAAATTATTTTTATATTTCCTAAATTTGTATTGAATCCATTTTAGCTTGAAAAAGTTCATTATGGTTAGGGACATTTAAAAATGAATAGTATTTTTATGTTAGGCATTCTATTTAGAGTCCAAATGTACACTGATTGTACAGGTTTGATTGTTGCAAATTGAAACAGCTAAATAAAAACAATAACAAAATTGTTGTTTGTTTATGACGGCAAAATCCAAAATAGATAATAAACATTACTTTTGCTTAGTAAACAATGTAATGTTGAATTTTTCAAGGTGATAAACATAAAAAAAGAGGTGATTTCACAGTGGTGTAGCAAAAAGGAATAGAGGATAAGACCTGGAGGGTAAAAATTAATCTAAATTTAACACAATTAGCCCTAGAGTACCCGCGCTTATCTCCATAAGGTGAGAGCTCGCAGGGGTAGATCTACGTTAACCTTATCCAATTTTATTGGATTTAGAAAAAAATTACAAACCTTAATAATGTTAACTGGATTAAATTGAAATAACATACACCCTACTATGTGGAAAAACTCATTAAAAAAGTTCAGCATTAAGACATTAAAAACAGTTGTAGCTGTATACTTTTTCTACTTCACGGTCCTTGCAAATGCTTTAAATTATCATTTAATCAACACAGCACTTGGTAGTTACTTTGACAAAATATTTTGGACCAAATTCATATCTGGCATTATTCTTAGATACTTTTTTGCGTTGGTTATCATTGTAGGCCTAATAGTCCTAAAGTCAGCTTTATCCACATTTGTATCTATAGTCCGTGAGGTTGGCGAAGGACTCTGAGGGATTAACGTTCCTTTCACCAACGCACGCGCACTCGCAAGCAGGGCCCTACCAACCCCACGGCGGCGTGACCCATGAGTGTGTGTAGGTGTGTCTCTGTGTGTGTGAGGGCTGTAATCCCTTAGAGTCCTTCGCCTACCTCACGGACTATAAATATTGTCTCTCCAATGAACCGTGCATTTTCTTTCAAAATAATATTGGATAATGATAATTACTGTGACTACTAGTGATGGTCGAATCCAGGAATTTTGAATCTCGAGTCCCAAAAATAATTACAAATGGGCTTATGGTGTTTAAAAAAGCAAGAATGGAATAGGAACCATTTACCACTTATAGGCCTATACTGTGCCATTGACTAACCATAAAGGATATTGTCGTGGTGGTGGTTAGGCCTATGCCTTATAATTCTATAAAAAAAATGTTATTCTTGAATCTTGTTAATCAAATCTCGAATCCGAATCTTTTTGTAGGATTCGGTGAATTCGAGATTCGGATTCGACACATCCCTGGTTGCAACATCCCTACCTAATTGCAATATAAATAAAAATAACAAATAGGCCTACTGTAATATGCACTCAGTAAGTGGTGTTCGTTATCGGTTAAGAATGTTCAGATTGAATGATTTTGGTCACCACAGTTTTCACAAAGTAAAATGTTTCCAAATAATGTCGCCCTCAATAAAGAATTTCATGCTTAGTTGTGGTAAACTGAATACAATTTAGGTACCTAAGTTATTTAAAAATATTTACGTTACCTTGATTTACAAATAATGTCATGTATGCAACAAAAATAAAACCACTCCATTTTGATGGGAACAATTCAGAAAAGTGTATTTTTCCACAACACTTTAAACTTTTAGTCAGTTCCATCATGTGCTTCTGTCAACACAACACTGCAGTTCCTGCAAACAAAAAGAAATTTGGTACTTTGGTGTTATCCGGAGGCCACCCTTATACAGCGCGCTGCAGGGGTTACAAGACATTCTTTAATCTTAAGTAAATTTTATGACGGGCACTTAAGAAACCCTTTTTTTTACGACTTCATGGGCGTAAAGGAAGTTCAGTTTTAGACTCATTATCAGTGCCTAGTTTATATTGTTGTTAACCCTTCACGGACGGGTGGCGGATATATCCGCTTATGGTTTTTGATGTTCCAGACAGACTAGCAGGTGCTTGAGCAGTAACCAGATGTTTTGCGGTACCAAGGCGCCACTTTCCTGCTCTCTCCATGGCTGCGCTTTCTTCCGCCCACATTCCCACGCCTCCCCCTCTCCCGCACCTCCCCCTCTACTGCGCACCACCCACCTCTCCTACACTCGCCCCTCGACGTTTCGCGCTCAACACTACGTTGTTTTTATTTATTGTTTACAAATTGTTCTTTATTTATTGCCCAACGTGGTCATGGTCATAACTTCAAAAACAGGTGGCAGATATATACGCTGCTTTTCTATTCATCCGCGGATGGGTAGCGGATATAAAAATAGTTAAAAACGAGTACAGTAAACAATTATTTCAACAGTATGAAGTGTTCCATTGTGTTTATTTTATGTTTACTGGTATAACAAAACACAAATAAGGAAAATTAATTTTTATTTTTTCCTATAATTTTTTCCCGTTCTATGTCACGATTTCTCATGTCCAGGAAGGGTTTTTTTAATCCTTTAATTGTCTATCAACTTTGTTATAACTGTTCCTACCTTAGTCTACTGTTGTTTATATTTTAATTGTCTATCAACGTTTGTTGCAATCGCTATCTTTGTTAATTTTTATCTTAATTTCTGCTGTCAGTATATTGTTGCTGGTTTCTATAATTTATTCTTTGTTAAATTATCATATTTATTTATCAAATGTATTGATTGTTAAATCACATTCCATACTGTTAGGTAATCCACAGAGCTGACACCTCATAAACAAACATATTAGACATGTTATCTGTAATGTCCAATGACAAATAAATTATTCTGATTCTGAATCATGTCAAATATGGACAGTAAGTAAACTAAAGTAGCCTATGTTCTTTCCATTTATGATAATCCAACCTTACATAGCCTAGCAGCCGCAGCACGCTGTATAAAGGTGGCCTCCGGATAATACCAAGAAGTACCAGAAATTTGATAACTATTAGTGGTTTCTGTGTTTATTCAAAAATATATAAGTTGTCATAATATCTTGATAAAATAGCCTTAATACTACAATGACAAATTATAGCAACCACTGGGTTCAGAATCTCTCGCTTGTAATGAAACAGCAAACATTCAGATTTCAAGGCGAGTGTTAGGCCTATAAGTTAACAACCACAAGGCTAGGCCTAGCCAAACAAGATACAGTCTAACCTTGATATAACGAATTGTTTTTGAATCCCCTAGAACTCTCCATAAGACACAATGTATGTTTTACCTCTACATAACGAACAACCCATATCAACGACCTTGATTTAATGAATTTTTCATGATCCCGGCTAAAATAAGACACCTCAATATAGCGAATTTATCATTGTCAGAACCTCTACATAGCGAATTTAACCTCTACTTAACGAATTGTCTGCGTCTCTCCCTCGATAAAACGAACCCCCCACCCCCAATTATTGTTTTTGAAAAATCAGTTTCTTCATCAAATGAAATTGAAAGGTGACGGCAACGCTTGCGCTAACATTCGTCTGCTCCATTTACACATCCCTGTCTACTGCCGTCGCTGCATGCGCGCTATGTTAAGTAAGCCCCCCATATACGAGCGAGCATGTTCATGAACGTGAACATGTACGTGAACATGCTCGGCATTGTCAACAGACGGACAAGCATGCTCGCGAACATGCTTGGCGTTTCCAAGAGACGGACGAGCATGCTCGCGAACATGCTCTCGAACATATGGTCGTCCCCACAGACGGGCGAGCATGTTCGCGAGCATGTTCGTGTTCGGGCTCGCCAAGTCCAACGAGCCGAGCGCCGAGCCCAACATGCATGCAACATGCTTGCAGCATTTTTGAAATCGAAATTTCATTGTGCTTAATACACTATTTTAATTGCACAACAATTGCCTGTGTGTAATATAAATTACCAACTCAGTTCACTGTAACCTACACTTTACCTTCCTAATCTAACCTAACTTCAAAACACTTAATACAGTCACGAATCCGCATAAGCCCGACTTGCCTTCCACACATGCCTAAAAAAAATCATTCTGAAATAAGTTATTCAGTGCCGTGTTGTTTCTTAGATGTTTGTAGCACATGTACTTTAAATGACTTGATTGACTTATTTTTATTCTCTTCTCTTCAATTTCGTATTTTCATTTCAGGTTCAGTTTTAGTAACTTACCTATAGTTCTACAAGTAACAGTTAGTGCGTTCCGTAATTCTGTAATGCGGCAAGCAGTAGCAGACTTGAATGGAAGGTAGATAAAGGAAATCAAAACGACAAATATCTTAAATTACCTTAGTTAATATTCGTGGCCTCTGAAACATTTTTGCACTGTTATTTCCTGGTAAAAAGTGAGTCTTCTACTTTAATTACTTACAATTAACGTAATATATCAAGTATCTGGAGAGAACATTTCATAGGCTTATGAATAGGTTAGGTAAAAAAAACAAAGTACCGGCAAATAAAACTTAAACAGCCGTAACTCCGTTAATATTTGAGAGCGCGGAAAAATCTTTGCACCATTATTTTCAGCTAAAAATCTAGTTTCTAGTGATATATAAATCTTTATAGGTTCCCATGGTCACGTTCGTCGCAATAAATACCCAAGGCCCTTCTACAAACTGGATGAATTCCTTGAATTGCCTGACGTCGATATTAAATTTTCAATTCTGTCTGTCTGTGATATAGCCAAAGGCTGCAATGTTGTCTTATAAGTATTTATCTGTCTGTTTGTAAGTATTGTATTTAAAATTTTATATTATTTTCTTGACCCCAGCTATGTTTTTACTAATTTAGGAAAACACACTGCAAGTATTGTTTAAACTGTGCACCTGTTTATATGTTTGCTCTAGTCTTTGCATGTTTTTATAACCTACAGTATTTTATTTTTAAGATGACTGTGATACTTTGCATGTATACACTGCACTTGTTCATATTAAGTTTGCTCTTATAGTGCCTGTAAACTTTAGGCTACTGTGCATGTAATATACATAGCGCTTTACGATGGGTAAAAATTCTTGATTCTTAACTCAGAATGTAGCCTATGATAGGTTGTTATTTCAAATATTTCTGTCAAAAATGTTGTGTTAAATAGGCCTAGGCCCTACTTCTAGCATACTTAGCCTACATTTGTGTGTTTTCTTAATTGTGTTGTAGGAAGTGAAGTTAATAGGCTATGAGAAAAATAGTATTTAACTTATCTACTAGGCTATAACTTACTTAACCCTTTCAGTGCTATGAAACGATATATCGTTGTTTTAAAAAAACCCTAAGGGATATAGAGAGGAAGGTTATTTAAAAAAAAAATAGCAAAACGGCCATTGGTGACCTGCATGTTCATAGGATACACTACCAACCACTTAGCTAAAAGATTCGCCCAATCCGATGATTTCGAGGTGTATGTCTAAACCAAGGATTATGAACACCTCACTATGCCCCAGTGGTTGTAGTATATCGCTACAAACACACAGGTCACCAATTATTTGCCACACAGGACGGGATTCGAACCCGAGCAGACGAATGCCACTGGCCAAGTGACACACGCCCTAGCCTTCTCGGCTATCTGTGCTTGAAGACTGGGGAGTCAAAACCCGGTATTTAAGCTGTCGCCACCGATGGCGCTGCAGATGGTTGTTCAATGCGTTACTAGGTAGCAGCACCAGCTAGTCACGGACTATTTAGATGCAATCTTTTAGTTTTAGTAGTAGTAAATGTGTTCCTGAGACTTTGCTGCAAAACATTAGTTTCCCTAAAATTGCTATATTACAATAACCTTGTCCAACTAAATCAGGGTTAAATTCAATATTACATTGTAAACTATATGTCTTTTGATTTTGTGAGATTTTGGTTTCAAATAATGCTATCAGAACATAAAAATGTATAGGAAAACCAGGAAAATTACAACAAAAACTAAGTTTTATTTGATGTTTACTACAAATACCGGGATTTATCTTTCTTAAGTTATATGTATATTTTCTTATTGTGTTATTATTCAAAATTAGCCTAATTAATAAAATAGTGACAACATGACAGTTAAAATTCAACAACGGGTAATGGAATCAAAAGGCAAACAAAAAAGTCTTACAAAATATGAATTATTGGCCTAGCACTGAAAGGGTTAACTTAGGTGCCTCCAAACAAATTTCTTAGGTTATCGGTTTTTACCTCCTGAATCACGATTACTAGAAAAAACCCGGTATGGATCAGTTTTTTCTAGTAATCGTGTCCTGAATATCGCAGTCTATCCGGTAACTTATCAACTTAACTTAACTTAACTTATTTATTTGGTCAATAGTAAAAAACGCAGATATTTTATTATAATTGGCCAAATTTAATGAATAGGCCTAGCGGACATACAAAATTTGTCGATGTAGCAAAAGTACTACTAAGTAGGCCTAGGCTGGAATGATTTGGGCTAGCTCGGTTGTGTGAGTTAAATTTATATTGTTGAAGTTAGAGTGATAATTTTTTAGCTTTAGGTACAGAAAGAATCTTACCACAGATTATCTCATAGTTTCACTGACATCATCTTTTATGTAAAACGTAACTAACCGACCACAACACAAGAGCTGAAGAGCATGATTCAATCAACCATCGGCTGCGCTGCAGTCTGCACTCTGCAGGTGCAATTTCAAAAATCAACAATAACATGCAACTGCTAGAGTGCTAGAGTGCTATTGTGCTAACGCTGCTAACTTTGAGCTGCTAATGCTAAAAAAAAGCCTCAAATTTTTTGACAAGTCCCACCAACCGATCACATGGCCAACCTAACAACACGAAACTCCGAAACAAAACCAGCAAAAACAGTGGTACGTGGTACGTTTTTTAAACACAGAGTGGCCCTCGTGGGTTACTCGTTACTCCAGTTAGCTCAGTGATCAACAAACTAAAATAAAACGGTGTTATGACTTGTTGACTTACTTAAGGAAACACAGTACTCAAATATAATTTTTTTTTTATTATTTAGTTTTGTAGAACAGACTTTTCTTAACACGTAGATAATAAAAATTAAGGAATAAAAAAATTATTTTTAAAATTTTCAGCTACTTTTATAAACTATTGCAGCCTAATTTAGCATGTCAAAGGTCCTACTACTAATCAAGACGCAGAGGGTACGCAGTCAAATATTATTTTTTTTTTTAACATTTTTTATTATTTAGTTTTGTAGAACACACTTTCCTGAACACGTACATACCAAATATTATGGGAGAAAGAATTATTTTAAGCTATACAGCGACTTTTATACACTCTTACTTTAGCATGCCCAAGCGTCCTACTACTACCCGGACGGGGGTACTTTTGTCGTTTTCCGAAAGTCAAGTGGTTTTTAGTCAGGTACACTTTTCTTCCTCAATTATAATCCAATTTCAATAATACCCCCGCCGCAGAGCAAACCTGCCGTCTAAGCGAATTTCCATTTGGCTGAATAGATTTTCAATTGATCTATTTAAATAACATTAGGTTTAACGAGTACCTAGGTTTGCTGCTACAAGGAAACTAATAAAGTGTGTGTTTTAAGTAAAATAATTATTGCTTAGTATATAATGAATATATTTGCCAAGTTTGATCAAAAGATATCCATAAACAAGCAAACTACAACATTTTACAACATTCTCCATAAGAATAATATGGGAATTTTAAATGTACCATTTTTTTTTAGTTTTCTCCGCAACCAATAACCGTACAAAAACACTTTGATATACTGAATTGTTTGTTTTTTAAAGCTCTTTAAGAAGGTTTAGAGAAAATTTGGTAAATTTTGATTTTTGAGGGTCAAAAGTGAGAAAACCCAATTTTTACCCCATAAAACCCTGTTCCCATAGTCCGATCATGCTGGATCGCGAATTCATTCAAGTTTATCCCGCCTTACACCTTCAAACCAAATTTCATCAAAATCGGATCAAAATTACTCAAGTTATCGTGTTCACGGACACATATGTATATATAAATCTATATATATATATATATATATATATATATATATACATATATATATATACATATATAAAAATTTGAACGAATGGTGTTTTTGGCCTCTTGGGACACCAAAATGAAAAAGTAAATCGGTCCCGGGCCTAAGTCTTACCATGAGACCTACGGTAATAGCTACTTCCCTATAGGGAAATTCGCTAAAAAATTGGTGTGTGTGTTCCTCATATGATAAGGAACAACAATACGAATCAGTTTCCATGACAACCAAAAACCTTTGAAATAAAAAAATATTTTATGTTAAAAAATTATAAAATATTTTATACAATTTTAAAAATCATACTAACAATTTAATTTTGCACAAAAACTTTTTTTGCTTCATTTTATTGTTGGTAATAATGTATTAAACATAGTACAACAATTTCAAGTTGATAGGTTAATATTTGTAAAAGTTATGTGTACCTAAAAACTGTTATTTTAACATGGGCGGGATAGGGAGTACTGTGTCACCTTAACGCTGGGGTATCGTCGCTATTGGATGTAGGTAAAGACTCGAAGGGTATGTGCATAAAATAGTGATGACGTATGAAATCTATTCACAAGTGAACATATTATTGTTTCATCGTTCTTTCATTTATGACGTTTTAAAGGTAAACTCGTAGACCTTAGTATGTTTTATCTATGGTAGAACCTTGGAGGCTTTTCTTACCGATTCGATTTCGATTCCCGCAACTTTTCTTTTAGAAAAGAACTTTAATGTCATTTTTTCAGGACTGGTAATACATACACGCTGTGAAATTTTTACCATGTAGTCTTAGTGACTTATTCTAAACACAGAGATATAAGGATTTCATAATATCTTTAGTAGGAGCTTTAATTGTAGGAGCCTGTAAAACAATTCGATTTATTTTGGAAACAAATATTTTTAAAATCTATAAAAACCCATAAAATAATTATTTTTTTTATTTTAAATGAAAAATATTGTGTCTGTGACTAGTTTATTAGTTAATATGAAAGTATACCAAGTTTCGCTATCCTACCTGTTCTAACTCCTGAGAAAAGTGACATTTAGTTAACATTACTAAAGATATGACCTAGGACTCCCCTTAATTATAACATTATTTTTATAATCATAAAATAATTTAAATTTTTTTATCGTAAAATTAAACTGTCATAACTTAACCAACCAAACTTGCTGATAACATTAAAAGGTACAAGAGAAAAATCGAATGAATGTTTAGTAATCTAAAAAAAATGTTCTGTTCATAAATAAAATCATAAATGACTCAAATTCTAACAAAAGTTGTACAGTTAAGAAGTATTCGCATTCCGAGCGTAATCTTTGACAAAAAGTTATGTAGTGTCGCCACTCGCCGGCGGGATTCGAATTGTTTCCACTCCATCATTATTTACGGAACCAGGCTCTGGGGCCATTCTTCTGGTGTAAGTAAAATTCTAGTGTTGCAAAAGGAGGCTGTCAGGGTGCTGAGTGGAGCCCAGTACCTGAAACACTGCCTTCCTCTGTTCCAACAAAACCGCATCATGACTGTCATAATGTATATATCTTTCAATGTCTTTTAGAAATTAAGGCAAATGAAGTGCACCTTTTAAGAAACAACCAAGTACATAACTATACCACAAGAAATTGTTTAAATGTTTTTGCGCATAGACACAGGCTGAGCAGAACAATTAAATGCTTCCCTGTTTCAGGTTACAGATTTTTCAACCATCTAACAGTAGCCGTAAGGGACTTGCCTATTTCAAGGTTCAAGGCAGTAATGAAGGACTGGTTGATAGAAAACCCTTTTTATGACCTGTCTGAATTTTTTAAAGTAGGACTAACAGTTTTGTAATGCTCATGCACTGCCTTGTATGGCTATTTTCTTGCCTGTTTTTTATTTGCATGGTTTTGCTTCAGTTTTGTTTTGCATGGTTTTGTTTGTTTCCTGTATTAGCCTATATCTAACTTGCATTTATTTGTGAATCAATTAAGAGATGGACTATTTATTCTTTACTTATTTGTATTGTAAGTGACTTAGCCTATTGCTCTGCTTAATGGCCTAATAAATCATTGAATCATTGAATTGAAGACCTCCAGAACACCAGTCTGAAACGCTATCAACTACGCCACGAATTCCGATGGACATATCGTCTCGGCCTCGTTACGGTAATAGTGTTCCCCACGAATACTAGAAAAATACCGGTATGGATCATCTTACATAAACAAATGATGTTGTTGGCCCGAATCACGGCCGCCTTTTAAACTACAGGCCGCGGCCTGGTAGAATTGGCAACGTCGCAAGTGGCGTTGTTCAGTGGCAGACGTCCCATAAAATAACATGGCAGACAGGTGACATCAGCTCATTAATTCGCACTTTATTGATTTAAACTTATATTTATGAACATAAATTTATTAAAATATTGAAAATAAAACATACAGAATTTAAAACCGGCGGATTGATATAATTTTAAATCAAAAACCAGGGCCGCGTTAAGGGTCAGTGGCGCCCTGGGCAAACCCAAAAGCAGCGCCCCCTTATATATATATATATATATATATATATATATATATATATATATATATAACTATAAAGGTTTTGACACACAGCAGTGAGTGCAATGAACTTGACAGTAGTTGCTATGCGAATGCCTCTTGCCCTGCGCCAATAGCTTAGTGCACTACGCAGTGATTTGATTACTGTTCAGTACAGTACAGTGTGCTGTTCATTGCATTACACACATATTGAACGAGATTTTACTAAGGAGTATGTTTTTTCCATGGTTCTACTATAGGCCTATGCGTATATATTATATTTATACATTAGCCTGTTTTTTTTACCAGTTTAGTTTCGGGAGGGAGTTTTCAATTCCGTATCAGTGAAACTGGAAATACTGGTTAATACATTTCACTTTCTTTAAAACTGCTTCTTGAGTTTGTTTTCTTTGAGCCAACCGCTTGCGGCTCTCGGCTCCACTAGGTTTTATATGCATTTTTCACTGTTGCCTTGTTGTGTTACTTAACTTACTTGTATCAACACTTCTCTATTTATTTATTACTGGTTCACTAACTACAGTGTGAGTGTCAACGCTGACTAGTGACTGTCACAGTTTAGGTTGTGTTGTGACTGTGCAGCAGGCACAACACGAACACAACCTACTGACTACTGAGGGAGGAGTACTACTGTACTGGACTGGCGCCGCGCGGTAGTCGGTAGATGGTAGTAGTTAGGCCTAGTTGTGACTTGTGGGGATGGAGGGTGGGACTGGGAGGGAGACGAGGGGTAAGTAAACCTTAGACCTGTAGACTACAGCTGGCCTACGTGCTATTCCTGTAATTTGCTGACGTCACCCAAATTGCAAACAAAACATCTGCTGATGTATTGCCATATAAGTATACATTTGTTTTGATTTGATTGTTATTGTTTTTATAATTTTTCACAATGGTAAAATGGTGTTTGCAATTTTGAGTGACGTCAGCATATGACGGGAATAGCACACCTATGTATTTTCCTTCCACCATGCAAGCCTCCCTGCCTCTGATAGAATAGTGAGTGCGCCCGGTTCACACTGCTGCCTGCCTTTCCCTCACTACACGAGGTATAACCTGAAGCTCGTGTATTTTCAATATTGTTGTATTTATTTACTTTTGCAATAAGTAAAAATAACTTAACTACAAGTTGAA